TCGCCCTCAGGGGGAGGGACTGACTGATCACAACGGGGAATGCTGGTCCTCTTGCTATGGCACCAGAGAGTAACTCAGGAGGTCTGGGTTCAATTCCTGGCTCTGCTACAAACTTCCTGTGTGACTTTGGGCAAATCACGTAATCGCTCTGTGCTTCAGACCCCATCTCTAAAATGGGGGTTATACTTGCTTTCTCCCACACTTAGTGTGTCTTCCATATTTAGGGTGTGAGCTCTTCAGGACAAGGACTATATCTTCTTATGTGTACGTACAGCACCTGGCACAATAAAGCTCTGATCTCTAGGTGCTACTGTAAAACAAATAGTAACCTGCTAATCAAACCATGTCACTTGGCTTTGTTAATCAAAGGCAGCCTGACTGGATGAATGGCTGCTGAATATGTGTACAATCTCATCCAACAGGCAACTAGTTATGCCCCATCTTATTTAGCGACCTGGACACTGAAGCAACCATTATTTGCCAATTACGTCTCCTCCCTGCCTTTTTTTGGTGAGTTTGAACACATTAGACAAGTCTCTGATTTGTTCATTATTTGGAATTATTCCGCACGTCTTCAACAAATAATTCTTCACTAACAATTCAGTGTGAACACTCATAAATGGTGCTGTTACATCAGCCACATGGTCTGGTTTCTTTTCCCGGATTGCATGACTAATGTAACCAATCCATTGCATTACAATCACCCCTCTTCAGAGGGCCAGCTCAAAGTCCTATGCCTCACCCATGCCTGTTATTTCAATGGGCCATGAGTGGTGTATAGGCTTGGTGCTGGCCTTTATTGATTTGGAATGTGAGCGTTTTCTCTTCACCTTCAACATGAATGGGAGTTGTGTGGTGGACAGGAGGACAGAGCCTCAGGGACTGAAAGTATGAGGCATGTTTCTGATCTGAATAGGAGGAGGCATTATATTTTGGAGGGGAGGCGCGGGAGGGGATGAATCACTGTACAAAGAGAATAATCATGCCTATTTGTTCACAAGAATCTGACCTTTACGATGTAGAAGAAATGGTCACATTTCGAATCACAGCAAATGTTAGCAAAGCCGGAAACTCCAGATCGTATAGAAACAATTTTTTGAGTGTCAGTCGAGTTCCTTTGGTTTGGGTTTTCATGGTTCTGGGGTTACCGAATTACAGAAAGCAAAAGTAGGGCAAGGCCAATTCTGGACAATTTGGATCAAAATGTTGCTCCAAAGAATACCGTCTCCCACAGCCTGAACAAGAGCTGATATTCCAATGGAATTTACCCACTAGATGACATCATGGTAAAATCCATACATAGCTGTCTGTGTTTTTATATTGTCCTCCTCATGATTGTTACAATTGCCATCAACCATAGTATCTCAGTCTCTGCAGGCTCTTTTCATCTTAAATCAATTGTTTTCACTGTGTCTGTTTGCAAAGTCCAGGCAGTTCTTTGGACAACACTTGTTTCTCTGTTTAGTTATATGCTTTAAAGAAGTTTAAAACAATAGCAGCAGGCAGGCTACTCCGTGATGAGCAACCCTACAACAACCAATCAATGTGTGTGAGGTGGAGGCAAGAATGACTGGATCAGGAAAGAGATTTCTGTCTCAAATTTCTCACTGGTTAGTACACTGAGTGAAATGTATTATACCATTGGGGGGGGGAGCAAAACACATAAGCCCGGACAGTGTCCTTTAAACTTCCCTGTCCTCTCTGCGTATTTCCCTTGCCTGTCCTTGCTGACAGGGAAGATATTTGTAAATTTCAGCTTTCTGCTCAATGGCTTCACCATTCTTGAGATGCGATTCCATGATAGGGAACTATAATATCACAAATTGGATTGTGACATCTCTGAAAGTATCGGGCCTGGAAGCAGGCAGATTTGACACTTGTATTAATAACAACAAGCAGGTACCTGGCCCTTTTCACAAACATAAGGGCCCAGATCCTCAAAGGTATTTAAGTGCTCAACAACCATTGAACTCAATGGCACTTAGGCGCCTAAAAACCTTTGAGAATCTGGGCCAAAGTTCTTGGCAAAATCATGCAGGGGGAGGATGGAAATTCAGGGAAAGGAATTTTGTAGGTAAACAGCAATTTATTAAAATGTTAGTGTTTTAAATGTCAACTCCAGCTAGAGTTATCTGTCATTAATGGTGTATTTGAAATTCAGATCCTCCTTTTACTTAACTTTCCTATGATAACTCCACAGGTGTGCTTGATGCTCCACAGAGAAGCTGGGAGGAATGGTCCCTGCCCTTGCAGAGTAGCTGGCAGGCTCAGGGCCCATGTGCTGCTGCTGCTGAAGTCAGCAGGACTCCCACTAGTGCTGGATCAGACTGTAAGGCCCACACACTTACTACCAAGTGTAGTGCTTATTACTGGGCCTGATTTAATTGCTTACAGCAGTAACACAGAGACTCTTACACCACCTGAAAAGCTGGACCAGCATCTGCAAAGTTAGGCTTTAAGATCAAATGACAAACCCGGGACCCTTGCAAGGGAAAGGGTGAGAGTACATAAAATAAGGTTGGGTGGGTGCTAAGGTGGCACATGGTGCATTTCGGTGGTTACATTTTTTAGCTGTTCCCTCTAGGGGGTACGTGTTTGAAGGAATGTAATGAAAGGTGGGGTTAAAGGCAGGATCTGAAGGGGAGGACAGTAACATGGCAGGGAGGATGTTGCTGGTGTAGAGTGAAAGTACAGAAGTGCTTGCCTGAAAAGGAAACAGAGGGGCCCTTGCGGGAAATTGAATTGGTGGAGTGCAGGGGCCTAAAAGTATGAGAAGAGGGAAGCTGGTGATGTGTCTGTTTCTTCTTCAAAAGTCAATCATCTCACTAACACCTAATGCTGCATAGGAGGTAGCAAAGCCTCTCACTGACCACAGAATCTGGGTAATTGGGCTATGTGCTGGCTGGGGATCTCTACTGGAGTAGGAGGAATTCTCACCCCTGGGATCATGGAGCTGGCCACAGATGCAGTAGCCAATATGAGAAGCATGATGGATCTGCACAGTCATGGAACTACTAGCTCTGCCCTGAGACCTCCCTTGTCTTATCCTTTCCCCAAATCCCACCTTTAAGGCAGTTTGCAAAGAGCCACACAGGCTCCTGGCAACCTGGATCCCACTCCTGCCTCAGCATAAATGTCTGGATGGATCCACTCCCGCAGGCTGCTCTATCTCATACACTGTTTAAAGTGCCTGACACTGTCCGCTCTTGGAAAAACACCAATTAGAGTTTTAAATTCAGATTTTGGCAAGTAAAAAGCCTCTGCAGGTCACCTTTACCTGACTGTGGCAAGCAGGACCAACCCTAGACATTTTGCTATCCAGGGCAGAAAATTTTTCTGGTGCTTCCCGAGCAGCTGAGCAAACAAAAAAGTGTGTGGGGGGGGGGGAGAGAGCAGAACACCCGAGTGCACCCTCAGATGTTGCTGTGCAGGGTGTCTGCCCTGATCGCCTGCTCCTAAAGATGGTCCCGGTGGGAAACTCATTCAAGAAAAATGAATTGCTCTTCACACAAATTCAGCAAGAGAGCCAACAGAGGCTAGTGGACTGAGCAAGGGGCTGGAAGTCAGGAATTCCTAAGCCCTAATATTAGCGCTCCCAATACATTGTGTGTGGTCTCACATTACTTGACCTCTCTATACCTCAGTTCCACACCTGTAAAACAAGTATGACACTTACCTGTCCCACATGGATGGTGTGCAGCTTCATTCATTTATGCCTCATGAAGACCCTCTGTTTGAATTTGGTTTGTCAGCAATTCTATGGCATTCAACACTTTATTGTCTGCGCTCTTCAAAAACTTGAAGTCTGTGAGGAAGTATCATCAACTGCATTTTGCAGATAGGTAAACTGAGGCACAGAGCATCAATGTCACTTGCTCAAGGTCACGCCGTGAGCCTGTAGCAGAGCCAGGAACACAGCCCAGCTTTGATGCCACAGAGACCTGATTGTCTCTGCAGTTATGGGCCGAAGTCAGTGGGAATTCCACATATGCAACTAGTGGGATAACAGGGCCCTGCACCCCAGCTTTAACTTTGTACTAGAAGTGAGATTCTCACACACATCCATCCAAGGGGCTGATTCTGAATCCTTCCCATGCCCCCCAAAGGACACTATGGGTTGAGGTGCTACAGAATTGTGACATTGCAGCTTTTTACCACTGTGCTTTCCAGGGGGAAAATTGGCTGCCGTTGTTTGCCATGTCTCAAAACTAATAAAAATAAATAAATAACAAGAAATAGCAACCCTCAACCTCCAGGATTAAATAAACTGCAAGAATCGGAAGTTGCAAATGTGCTTTCTATTGTGATAAGTTTGGTTCTCAGGATCACTAGTTCTTTCAAAGGAAATGAGTCAGAGCTGTTTCTGCTGTTGCTCAGTCGAGTCCTGCTTTTCCAGCTGAGCATGTTGGTTTCAATGAAGCTCCTGAATGAACTTGGCTTTACAAACATTTTTTTTTCAACCAGAGAAAAACAGAAGGGGGTGATAGCCAATCAACAAGCCGGCCGGGCTTTCCATCTCAGTTCGCACAAGAGCACAGCCTCACCCCGCCCCTGGAAAGACAGAGGCCAATGATGGGCCTCTCCCGATCCAAAACACAGCAGCCATCCAATGGGGAAAGAGCCCGATGGCTCATTCTCCCCCAATGAAGCATGAGCTGGGGGGAAGGGAGCGAGAGAAACAGCCACAGCCTGGGGAGCTGGAAGATTCGAATCGAACGTTCATACATGTGAAGAACACGGCGGTGGCCAATCAGCGGGCTCGGAACGCCGGGAACGGAACGTTGAGACACCTCCGGCCTCCCCCCCCCCCTTTTCCCCACATGCTCCTCCCCTGCTGCTGTTGTTTGTGGTGCTCAAGCAGCCGAGGCGCTGAGGGACTGGGGCAGGGGGGAGCACAACATAACCGGCTTGGTGCCGACTGAAGCAGGCGGGGGGGAAGCAGGGGTGGCTTGGCCGAGCCGAGGGGCCGGGGGAGCCGAGTGTGGGGTGGAGAAGGAGAAGGAGAGAAGGGCCTTTGTGGATTTCTCCCCCCCCCCCACGCACGCCGCAGCGGCACCGTGTGTGTGTGTGTTCTGCCCCGCTTCCCTCGTTGTTGTGGTTTCGTTTCTCTCGCCATGTCGGTGAATATGGAAGAGCTGAGGCACCAGGTCATGATCAACCAGTTCGTGCTGGCCGCGGGCTGCGCGGCCGACCAGGCGAAGCAATTACTGCAGGCAGCTCACTGGCAGTTCGAGGTGCGTGGTTTGGGGGGGGGAGAGACACCCCAAAGGGGAGCGGGGTTCGTGGGGGCCTCGCGTGCTGCTCCTCCTGCCATCCCCCTCTCACCCTCGGATTCACCCCTTTCCTCCACCTAATCGCTCCCCCTTTCTCGCTAAAACAGTTGGTCTTGGAAACAGTTGTGGGGGTGGAATGTGTGTGTACGCGGCTTTAAATAACAACAGAGCTGGGACACGGCCGGCCGTGCCACACGGGGCCCTGGCGCCGCCGTTGAATGGCAAGCTAGGGAGCTGCACATAAACAATCATTTTACTAGGACTTCATTACGATTACCTATTGCAGCAAGTGCCTTCGGGGGCCAGCAACTCACGAGGCCTCGCACGTAATGTCTGTTGCTGCTGTTGTGGGTAGAAGGGAGGAGGGGAGAATACATTTTATTCATGTAATTTCCGAGGGGGAGAAACCGGCTTGCAGATCTCCTGGTGCCTATTTATATATTGCGCTGTAACCAAATCTGTGGCTCTCCCGGGCCTTGGAATGAAGCATAGAAACGTGGTCTGGTCTCTCTTCGCCCCGATTCCTCTGGTGGGGAAGCTTGCTCCGGAGCTGGGGAGAGGATTCAGTATGGGCTGAACCGCTTCCCAGCCCCACACGGGGCTGCGGAATACGGAGGAAGCCTGTGTAGTAAAATGTGGTGTCGCCGTTTTTCGGTTGTGTTTTTTTTTTTAAAGGGGGGATGTTATGTAAGGTGACAACGGCTTTAACTCCCTTCACGTGGATAAAGACGGGGGAGGAAGCGGATGACAAGTGTATTTTATATATAAAAAAAGGCTCACATCAAAGGAAATAATTCCACGTGGGGCTTTGTCAATTTCTTGCTGCCCCGTGGGCGAAGGCTTTTTTGTGTGTGTACATTCCTGGGGAGACTTCATGACACTGCCCCTTTTCCTTCCCTGATTTAATGTCACTCGTGTTAACGAAACCGACATGGGGTCTCTTGGCCAGAGTGTACTGAAGTGCTTTGATGGTACTTCAGCCGGATTCTTCCTTGCCTGGCAGTGTTTTGTTTCTGGGTTAGGTAGGCATGAGATCAGTCCAGTTGGGGAAGGGCTCGGGGCTGTGTTCTTGTTTTGGATTCCTTTGTAGCTTCATTTCTCCTTATGCAGAGGAGAAAATTAGCATTTCAAAGCCAGCCCAGGCCTGTGTTGTGAAATGCAAACAGCTCGATCAATCATCTTTGTTTGTTGTCTTAAATTATTTGTTTACAGTTGAAACATACTTAAGGGAGGAAAAACAAGATCCAATCATTTTTTTTTATAAAACAAAACATTTCCAGGGTCTTTTACTAGCACTAGCCTCTATCCCGTGTGGCTGCATTTCCCCCTTTGCTCTGTCTGACTGCTGGAATTAACTAATTGTTGTTGTGTTTTGCAGACTGCTTTGAGTGCATTTTTTCAAGAAACTAACATTCCCAACAATCATCACCACCATCAAATGGTAAGTGACCCAAACTTCACAGACATGTGCTGTTCCCTATGTTATCTTCACTTCCTGTGGGCTAGAACGAAATTTACAGTGGTGTGTTCTTCCCTCCCTCCCCCCCCCCCAATATTCCTTAATCTCCCGAATAAATGAAATCTGAAAAGGTTATTTCTTATCTGGGAGAGCCTCATAAAAGCAGCTACAAATGCTTCATCAGATGCCAGTCTTAACCACCCCCTTACCTGTTAAAGTTTTCTTATGACAAGCCATATAAAAATATGGAACCAAGGGGAGGGATTCCCTGTTTTGCACATTTTTGGAGGCCACCTTTGATACCGGGGAGGGGAACAGGAGTCTGCAAGCAGAAGTGGTTGTGCATTCAAAACTCTCAGTTCTCGTGACAGCCATATTGGTCTGCAACAAGAGAAATACACAGACTGCAAATGTAAACAAGAGCCAAAATGTCTGCCAGGAAATAGTTTGTCTTCACATAGATCTAGATAGTTATAACAAGTAAAAGATCTAAGTGAATTGGGATAGGAAAGGGGGGCAGGCCCTTTCCCTTGAATGTTTCCTCAGAACTTTCAGCAAAACTTTACTTGACCTTGGCTGAGGACAAGTCTCTTTAGCGAAACAGAGGAAGTTTTTTTAGGAAACTAAACCAGTGCTGTGTGTGAGGATAATAGTAGATGGAGGCTAAGCCATAGATTTTTCTTTTCCTGTACTTGCCATTGTTAAAACCTGCAGCCAGTTCTAAAAGATTTGGAATAAAACAGAAAAATGGCTCCTGGGAACTTTGTATTAACGCTCTTATTTCCTCACTTAATACTTTTTTTTTTTTCTCCTTTCTGGCACAACATTTCTCGCCAGCATTAGAGTATTATGGTAACATCTAGAGGCCCCAGCAGAAACAGTTCCCTATTGTGCTAGATGCTGTGCAGACAGCCCTGCCCTGAAGAGTTTTCAGTCTAAATAGACAAGACTGAGTGTGGGAGGGGAAACTGAGGCATGGATTAAATTACTTGCCCAAGGTCTTGCAGCAAGCTAGTGGCTGAGCTGGGCATCAAAGTCAGATATCCTGAGACTCGGTCCAGTGCCTTTCTCACTAGGAAAGCCTCTGAAAGGAACTAGATTTATCTTGTTTCTTTACTCCTAGGATAAATCTAGTGTTAGGCCTATCTTGTATTTGTAAATTAGCTTGGAAATTCATAGGCTCTGTCCTTGGGTGGCTTGATTGAGGGCAAGCTTTCACTGAGGCTAGAGGTTGCAGTTACTAGTTTACAAACCCTGATCAAACTCTGAAGATGCAGAGGTGATTCAAGCTGTTCGAAATGCTTAACTCACAGCAGGAGTGATTCCTTACCAAGCTGAATCGTTTACTGCCTGGGTGCTACAGGAAGCTTAACGTGTTTTATTCAGGCTGATTTACACGAGAGTATTAAAAACCCCAAACTGGAATAGGAACTGAAGTGAAATCTACCTCCAAGCTCTTATTTTAAATAAGAGAGGCCAACATTTTAGCCAATAGCCCTGAATCACTTAAAAAACTCAACACTGAACAGTCATTTCTGGTGTTCTAAAAATCTTTGAACCCTGATACTTAGTCAGATGCAGGAGCAGTGACATTGGCATGCTTGTCCCATTACTCATAAGATGACTTGACACTCAGATCTAAGCAGATCTTCAGTTATGAGGTTTTCTCATCAAAAGAAAAAGGCAGAGGAGCCTATTCCTGAATGCTTTAAAACCTCTCTGTGCTGTCCAACGTTCACCCTCTTTATTACAAGCTTACAAATGCTGGATTCTCTAAAAGCAGCTTAATAGTATTTCCAAGCAAAGGAAATCTTGGCTGCGTGGTAGGCTAGCTTCACCCCTCCCTCTTTTTATAACCAGTTACACATTAATCAGGAAACTGGTATACATGTCATGATCCGCAATGTGACCATTCTGTTTGCCAAATGTTATTCATCTCTCTTTCCCAGATACTAGTCTGACTTTTGTGCTGCATTTTTGTTGTTGTGTGTTGTTCCCTGTGCCCTAACGTCTTGAGATTTCTGCTCAAACTTAAATGCCATGAACAATTCTGCTCACTGAGAGAATGGCGATTAAGAGGAGAGGTTTTACAGTATCTTGATTTGTTCTGAAACAATTGTACAAGTAAAGCTATGAGCAAAACCCACCAAAATCGCACAAAGTGAGCAGCTACGCACCGTCTCACAGATACACCTGTTTCTCTTTAGATAAGAGATGCTCCCCATATCACAAATTCTTACACGCCATTAACCTTATAAATAAGTCGCTCATATTACTCTTATTTCCATCCTGTCTATACACCCATCTGAAATGGGATGTGAACCTTCTAAGTGAAGAATTTCTTGGGACACCCAAGGGTAACTTCATCCATTTAAAAAAAAAAAAAAAAAAAAAAGTATTCTTTGTGGACAGGAGAAAAGTCATGTAGCAAATGGGGAGCTTTTTAGTCCCCAGTCCTGCAGACTGCTCAGCATGGGCAACACCCCAAGGGAGCTCAGCTGGAGTGTGGCTGCCTGAAATTTATTGCCAGACTGGGGCCTTTTACCTGATAACTGAAAGTTCCATATCCTTGCCAGAACAGAAATGTCTAATAGCCAAATTTCACTCGTTGAAGGATAGAGGCAAACTCTAAAGTGTGAGTGTCTAGATTCTAAAGTGGCTCTAAGGCAGGGGTGGGCAAACTTTTTGTTCCGAGGGCCACATCCACCTTGCGAAACTGTATGGAGGGCTGGGTAGGGAAGGCTGTGCCTCCTCAAACAGCCTAGCCCCCGCCCCCTATCCGCCCCCTCCCACTTCCCACACCCTGACTGCCCCCCTCAGAACCCCCCCTGCTCTTTGTCCCCTCACCACTCCCTCCTAGGACCCCCACCCAAACCGTCCCCCAGGACCCCACCCCCTATTCAACCCCCCCATCCCCTGGCTGCCCCCCCCCCCAGAACCTCCGCCCCATCCAACTGCCCCCTGTCCCCTGACTGCCCCCAGGGACCCCCTGCCCCTTATCCAACCCCCTGCCCCCTTACCATGCTGCTCAGAGCAGCAGAAGCTCACAGCCCTGCCGCAGCCAGCCACGCCGCCCACACTGCCCGGCAGGAGCAGCGGGCCAGAGCGTTGGCAGCGTGGCGAGGTGAGACTGCGGAGGAGGGGGGACAGTGGGGGAGGGGCCGGGAGCTCAGGAGCTGGGCAGGACGGTTCCGCGGACTGTAGTTTGCCCATCTCTGCTCTAAGGTGTTGAATTGTTTGGTTTGTTTGTTTTAAATCAGGGATGGATAAACTGACAGTGGAACCTACTCTAGCTTTTTGCTGGATCTGATTCGTTGCCATAAAATATAGGAGATGTTGATATTGACGTAAGCTGGGTGGGAAGTTAATCAGCCCCACCGATAAAACTGCAGGCCCTCGCCTGCACCAAGGAGGGTCTCTGTCCCTGCATACAGACACCCCGATCACCCCCCTTTGACTCCTATCTGTTGCTGCTGTCTGTTTTCTGTTCCTCTCCCCACCCCATGGTGCGCTGGGAAAAATCGAAGGAGCAAAAAGGTGCCCACAGAATGTAAGCAAACTATCTATTCCCCCTTCTCCCCCCCCCCCCCCCCCCCGTGTTACATTGTCCCGGCTGTTTTCTCAAGCATGGTCTGGTCTAGTAAGGATCCAAATGAGGAAGGTTTGAGACCCACCTTTCCCTGCCCTTTGCTGTACAGAAGTCAGTCCTTAAAGCAGCAAATGCGATATCCTGTAAGGTTTGGGTTCTGTAAAGCAAACCAGACAGAAAAGAGGAGCCTATTTGTCCTTGTTGCTTGTTTGTTCGAATCACTTTGTTTACAAAATTTTTTTTTTCCTCCTGCCCCTGGGGTGAAGGTTCAGCGCCAGACAGAGTGTGTTTCTCTGGCTAGCGTTCTTGTTAAACACGCAATATCCAGCCAGTGCCCAAAAGTCCAGCAGCTCAGAGGCCCCCTCCCTCCAGTTTTTTCATGCTGTCACATGGGGTCGTGTCTTCTGAGCACAAACAAGATTAACTTATTTATTCAACGTATCGAATGGGCTTGTCCTGCAGGCAGCTGAGTGACAAAGAAGAAAAGGCAATTCAAGTGATTGACGGTGTCTGAATGAAAAGGACCATGGGGAATTTTGGGATCAAACCCACCTCTTTTCCTCCATTTTTCAGGCAGAAGTCTGAGGGGTGGCATCCTGTTACTCTGGTGTACACTTAGAGTAATTCCACTGAAATCAGCTGGAACGGATTCTGCTCCCCCAAGTGTAGCTGAGATCAGAATCTAGCCCCTTAGGGAATAAATGGCCCTTACACAGTCTCTTGAAGTTCACAAACAAACTCGGGCTCTGCTGGTTCAACAGAGGAAGAGGAGCAGGACTAGCGTAACCGGAGCCTGCAAGTTGTGATTTCTCTCCTGTTGCTCCCCGCAACCATCAGAGCGGCTGCTGACCTGTAGTTATGTATTGCAGATCACTTTCTGATGGCTGTCACTTCTCCTGAAACTAGGATAGTTTCTTCTGAAGATTTAGGCACTCGGGCCACTTTGCACATGATCTGATTTGCGTTCAGTAATTTGTACCGCCCTAAACGAGGGTCTCATTCTGCCACCTTGTATCGAATGGTGCCGTTCTCCACAAATAGCCCTATTCATTTCCTGGGGACTACTCCCTGTGGGTAACGTGGCAGAATTGGGCCTGCTGTCTTTAAACTAAAGTGAGATGAGGACAAACCCACCTGGATTCCTTTTGGCTGCAGCATTTAGGGATACTTTCAAACTACACTATGGGAGCACTTTGCATAATCCCAGCTCTCACCAAGAATTATCAAGAGAAGATAAGAAAGTTATGTGGGGAAAAACCTGAAACTCTCTCTGTTAGTGTGTTCACTACATAGGAATAGGCAGACTGGATCAGACCCAAGATTCATCTAGTTCAGTATTCCAGCTGTGACAGAGGCCAGTGTAAGAATCCCATAGGAGGTAGATGCTCCCTAC